CCCTGTCTTTCAAAAGTGTGGCAAAATTTTTCCCATGCCTCTAAGCAGAGCGTAAGTTTGAGAGTAAGAGAGAGTCTCAGCTCTGAAGGTCCCAAGACCCATTTTCCCTTGAAGGAATGAAGAGGGTGTTGGGTGACCTCCCCTAGCCCATGGTTACGGAGAAGAGCAAAAAGATGTAACTGGGACACCATCCCAGAAGCCTGGCCTCCACTCTGCACGCCAGCTGCTCCGTCTCTCTCTGCAGGGTACTGAGAGGTCACCGCTGTTTACAATCCCCTGCACATCTGTTCTGAGTCACACATTCATTCATTTAATCAGTCGTCATTCACAAAATATTTTTGAGAGCCCACTATGTGCACAGAGCTGAGAACAATTTTAAATAAAGATGATTCTCAGGACACAGACGGATGGATGATGACTGATGGCTACGGGTATGAGGACTTTATGAAAGCGGCTGCAGGGAGCTGGGAAGAGTTGGGGAAGCCACTCTTAAAGAAAGAATGTTTGGGCTCAAGAAGGCCTGGGGAAAAAACAGGACTCTAATCCTTTCTCAAAACCACCTTCTCCCAAAGCTTCCTCCATCTTGATCAATGGCAACTCTAGTCTGAGAGTTGCCCTAGCCCAAATCTTCAGAGACATTTGACTCCACTGTTTCCTGTACTTGGTTCAGCAGCAAATTCTAATGACTTCAAAATATACCCAGCATCTGACCACTTCTTACAACCACGGTCACCACTCAGTTCCAGAGCACTGTCATCTCTCAGCTGGACTGTCGCCACCACTTCTGTCTTCAGGCCCAGCAATGTGTCTCCACACCAAAGCCCAAGTGACCTTTCCAAGGGGAAGCCAGGACATGTCATGTCTGCTCCAGACCTGCCAGGGGCTCACTCCAAGTGAGAGGCTGAGTGTGTGTCATGACCTTGCAGGCCCTGGTGTGCTGCCTCCCATCACATCTCCAACCTCAGCCCACCCCTTTCTCTCCTTTTCTCTCCAGCCATGCTGATCTCCTTCCTGCACTTTAAACACGTGAGGTACATCCACCTCAGGGCCTTTGCTTGGGCAGGTCCCTCTCTCTGGAAATCTCTTCTCCAGGATGTCCATGGAGGTTGCTGCCTTTCCTCTTTGAGATTTTTAGTGAAATATCATTTCTTAGTGAAGCCTTCATTGGCTTCACTCTTACAGCCCTTCCCAATAGGCTGTAAGTCCCATAAGCATAGAATTTTATCTTTTTTTGCTCTCTGCCACATCCTTCAGCACCTGTTATAGTTGGACCAGCCCCAAACAGGGCATAAACAGTTAGGAGCTGGTTTCACAGACAAGACTCAGTGTGCAAACGCCATGGGAGTCTGAGCAGAGCGAACTTAAAGAAAGATCTTCTCACCATGTGGGCTGGTAGCACCCCCTCCTCAGTCTAGTGTATGGAGAGGTCACTGCTGTTTACAATCCCCCACACATTTGTTCTAAGTCCCATATTCACACAGTTAGTGATCATTCACTAAATATTTTTGAGAGCCCATAATGTGCACCCGGCTTTGGCAGCTTTCAAAAACAGAAAAGTTCAACCACAGATGAATTCCGTGAGTCTGGCAGGGCCATGTTCCTAGCTATTTCTCAAGATCACAACTGTGGACACAGAAATCAAGGACATCTTCCCTTACCTCGCTTTGTCCTTATCTCTGGACAGAGCCACTATCTCTGGACTCCCTGCCCCACTACTCACATCCTCAGATCCTTGCTCCTTCCAAGGTCACACTTCAAGGTCAATAGGATGGAGACACTGTGGCCCTCCATCTCACTCTGTCATTCACTGCCCGCCTCCCAGTTGCTGTCCCAATGGGCAGAGCCCCCAGACTCCATGGCCCCCACAGACTCCCTGGGTTACATCCATTTCCAGCCACAGGGCTGTGAGAATGTAAAATCACACAGCATGCCTTTCTTTGGCCCTATGCCTACATTTTCATTCTTCAGATTGCTTTAAGTTATCGGTCAACAGATGTGGTCACATCACTCATCCTATCTCCAGCCCAGAAACTGCTAGTGCCTTTGGAGAGAAAGGAGTGGGTTGATGCCTGTCTTTGAGAAGCTGGAGATTGAGGACTTTTAGGATACTGAACCAGCCTCTTCCTCTCTCCCTGCTTTAGAAAATAGGCAGGATCCAGCTACCCTAAACAGGTTATTGACATCTCATGGCCAGGCCTCTCCTCATCATAGCTGATCACTGATCTCTGACCTCTCTTTAGTCTTTCTGGGTGGGGAAGGGGGCAGTTACCCAGTGGGAGGGCTTGAGGCTGGGTTTAGGGATAAGATAATAGATAGGTTCCTCTCTTTTTAGGACTCGCTCAAGGAAACACTGCACATACTGGCTTCATCACTAACACTGTTGCCACGGCAGCAGAGCACTCTCACTGCAGAAGAGGATCGTGGGAAACACGGGATGTGAAAGAAATAAAAAAGGAGCCAGATGGAGGGAGAGGTTGCATTAGAGAGCATCAGAAAGTTCCAGAATGCCAAGAGGGCTATTTAAAGGGCCCTCTATCTGACATGGCAAGACCCTTAAGGGGTGACAGAATCATCCCTGAAGGGATGGCACTCCAGGGATCTGCCCTAAGTTAACTCATGGGATCCATGTAGACACAGGTTTCCACCTTGGAAACTAACAAGTAGCACATCCTGCAGGGGACAGTGGGCACGAGGCCTGGATGGTGGGGTGATTCTGTGCCTCTCCTGTGGGCTGTCTTCTCAAAAGAAGCAGAATTCCAGGAGCTGCTGATGGAAAGGAGGAAGAGACCTTGGGATGTGGGGGATATAATATCCCATGAGAGGAAGCAGAGAGGAACAAAGAGGATACAGAGAGGAGGAACTAGGCTGAAATACAGAGCCAAGGGGATGAACTAACCACGCAGGAAGGAAGGAAGTTCAGGTCCCCAGAGCAGTGGGCATCCAGTGACAAGGACTTGCAGGTGGACACAGAGGAGAATGGAATAGTGTTTCATACCAACTAGAAAGAATTTAACCACCAGAGATGTGGGGCCAAATGAAACCAGGCACGAGAACATGAGATTTTGCCTGAACGGGAGAGAACAGGTCATAGTAGACATAATGCTTTGACCAGGTTGGTAAGCAATTAATTTATTTTTGATAACGAGGAGGTGAATTTATGTGTAGGAAAAGAACTTGCAGACAAGAAGCAGGACCTACTATAATTTGGTAAATCAGACTATAGGTGTCCTCAGATTCTCCAGTTGCTGTTTTTAGGAAAGGCGGGGTTCCCATATGATTGATTCAGGGTCATCTTGTGTAAATTATACAGTGGCAGATGAGTAAGGAAGAGGACTGTAGAAATGAAGGCTTGTGGCATCATTACACGTGGCATGTGGGTGGGGTGAGGGGGTGCTTGTACTAACTCAAAAACTTGACACCAAAGGTGGAGTTTCATCTCAGGCATACACATGGGCACTTCCTGTGTCCATGCCTGGCCTCATATGCCTGGACAAATTCTGGCATGATGCCACATCTTTCCTCTTAACCAGTTCTTTTCTGCTTGTTATTTCCTAGCTGGACTCACAAACCCTGGCTGCCTGAGTTTCTAAGTGCTGAGTCCAGGCCTCTAAGGACAGCAGGCCCCCTGTTCTGTGCCTCAGGATCTTCTGCTGGATCTTGGCACCCAACCCCTTATGTCCACCCCTTTGAGGCAGCACCTCTTGTCATTCCTGTAATTGGAACATACCCACACCTCTGCCTGTCTACTCTTGACAAATGAGCGGGACATTGCCTTTTTACGGGGGCAAGATTATTTCCCCCAGACTTGTATTGTCTGCCTTGTATTTCCTGCCAGACACTGAGTTCCTTGAAGGCACTTTCTCTGTATCTCCAAGGATAGCCAATGGTCCATGCTCTTTTCTGCTCAATCTTATATTCTCAGTGAGTCTTCTATGACTCCTGTCCTCAAAGATTTTATGGCATCTTCAGCTCTGGAATCATGGAAAGCAGGAAGTCTTGGGCTACAGCCAGGACCGGAGTCATGCAGGATGCAAACCCACTGTGCAGCCTTGAGGCCTCCAAACCCATTTAACCATCACAGCTGCAACACCTGCTCCATGCAAATGCTGAGGGACGCACTTTCCAGCTCCTATGTGGGTGCATCCATAAGTACCTCTCACACCAGCCAGGCCTGATGCTCAGTGCTAGGAGAGTGGGTAAACCAGGAGACGAATAAAGAGGTCTTCAGATGCCAGGGGAAAGGAAAGGAGGAGCTACAGTGATGGAGATTGGGGATACAGTGGGAAGTAATCTGACAGTTAGTATTCCTGAGCCCCAGGCATACAGCTGTACCTGGAGCCTGCCCTTCCTGGAGCAAGCTTGCTTGTAGAGAATTCCACTCCCCTATCTCCTGCCCATCGCCTCTCCTGAAAGCCTTTGCCTTGAACAGCGTGACCCTGACTTGGGAGGCCATGAGAAAATAGGTAGTGCCACTCTCTGTTCTATGGATGGACAGTCCTAGGTAAGCCACTGCCTACTGTGCCTCACCCCTCTTCCCTGGCCCCAGGCAGGAGGGAGAAGGAGCAGAGTTGGGGAAGTGTCCTTTGAGGTAGCCTAGCATCCTTGCCTCAGGGCTGGCAGTGCTGAGTCTCCCCAGGGTCCCTATGTTTGACCTAGGACTTGATGATTCCCCAGGCTTTTTCACCTAAGGAGGTGGTATTACAGAGACTGTGAGCCAGAGGGTGTCAGTGACTTTGACAAGGTCATGCGGGCAACTGGAATGGGAACCTGATCTCTTGATCCCAAGGGCCAGTCCCTTCCTCCAGTGCCCTCAACCCCTACTCTGTCTAATCATTCTTGTCCTACCCTGAGTCCCCTACCTTGTGTGCTCAGGAGAGCACCACCCTTGTGTCTCAAATGTAGGAAGGGGTTGGTGGGGGAGGGGGCTGACAGTGGTTTGGGGCTGGAGCCCAGCGGCACTGCCAGGCCGCAGGCCACGCTGTTCTCTCCAGCTGTCTTACCTGTACGCCCATCTCCTCAGCGGATGCCTTCTCCCAAGGCTGCGGAGGACCACCCGAGCCCTCCGAGAATCCAGTCCTCCTCTAGGCTGAAAGCCAAGACAGGACAGAACCTGGTCCTCTCTTTTATTTGCCCCCTACCCCTCACTCGTCCACCCGCGAGCTCGGCTTGCTGATACTTCCCCCTCCCCAGCCAGAAATAGACACACACCCTCTCCCCCACCTCCCTCCCCTCCAGCACACTCCTCCCCTCCTCTTGTTTGCTCCCCGCCTTCCCCTCCCCTGCTTCCTCCCCCGAAGCTGCAGCCCGCAGCCTTTACTGGAGCGGGTGGCGGAGTGCGGGAGGGCGCTGCCCGGCGGTGCCCAGCCCGCGGAACTGGGACTGGAAGGCCGGCGGGCCAGGGAGCTGGGAGCCGGGCGCCGCAGCCTCTCCAGGCTTCAATGCAACCGCGGGATTTCCATCCTTCCTTTGACTGATTTTTAATTTTTGATTTATTTTCCCCTCCCCGCCCCTTTTCTCCGACCCCGCCCTGTCGCTTCACGGCTTCTGTGCTCCTTCCTTTGCCCCCTGCTTCCTTCCTCGCGTTTCTTGCCCCCCGCAATCCCGGCTCGCCTCCCCCATCCTCGCGCGCTTCCACCCCCTCCTCTCCCTTCTTGTTCGGTGTCTTCCGTCCTCTCCCCGCTTCTCCGCCTCCTCCCCGCCCCCTCCCCCGCCCTGTGCCTGCAGACGCGCGGATCGTCCATGCGCTCCTCGCGGGCAGAATGCTGGGCAGCAGCGTCAAGAGCGCGCAGCCTGAGGTGGAGCTGAGCAGCGGTGGCGGCGACGAGGGCGCGGACGAGCCGAGGGGAGCCGGCAAGAAGGCGGCTGCAGCAGACGGCCGAGGCATGCTGCCCAAGCGCGCCAAAGCGCCCGGTGGCGGCGGCATGGCCAAGGCCAGCGCGGCGGAGCTGAAGGTCTTCAAGTCCGGCAGCGTGGACAGCCGTGTCCCCGGCGGGCCACCCACCTCCAACCTGCGCAAACAGAAGTCGCTCACAAACCTCTCGTTCCTCACGGACTCCGAGAAAAAGCTGCAGCTCTATGAGCCCGAGTGGAGTGATGATATGGCCAAGGCGCCCAAGGGTTTGGGCAAGATGGGATCCAAGGGCCGCGAGGCCCCGCTGATGTCCAAGACGCTGTCCAAGTCTGAGCACTCGCTCTTCCAGGCCAAAGGCAGCCCGGCGGGCGGCGCCAAGACCCCCCTAGCCCCTCTAGCGCCCAGCCTGGGAAAACCCAGCCGGATCCCGCGCGGACCTTATGCGGAGGTCAAGCCGCTCAGCAAGGCGCCCGAGGCAGCAGTGAGCGACGACGGCAAATCGGACGACGAGCTGCTCTCCAGCAAGGCCAAGGCACAGAAAGGCTCTGGGCCGGTCCCCCCTGCCAAGGGCCAAGAGGAACGCGCCTTCCTCAAGGTGGACCCCGAGCTTGTGGTGACTGTGCTGGGCGACCTGGAGCAGCTGCTCTTCAGCCAGATGCTGGGTGAGTCCTGCCGCTCCGCCCCACCCCGCCCCTGGCTTTCTCCTGGCCAGCTGCAGGGGAAGGTGGGGGAAAAGGAGAGGTTCCTCCTCTTCCCTCTCTCCGTAGGACTCTTATGATCACCGAGCTGGTGAGGAGGGGCATTGCTTCCAGATGAGCAGGGCTGGCTCAGCTCTAGATGTGCATGGCTAAGTGTGTCTTCAAGACCCTAAGGACCAGAGCCCAGGCTCTGTTCTGGCCTGCCTGAGGTGAGGCTGGACAATGGCCTGGTAGAGTTAGGTTCTCAGAAATAGAGCCAATTAGCATCCTGGAATTTTAAAGCCCAGAACTCTAATGTGGCAAAATCTGGGGCTGGCGGAGACCTCCACTGTAGAGACAGGAGAGCATCAGCATTACCCGGAGACATCCTCAGGGGAAAGCCTGCATCTAGCGGACAGATGTGGGGAGAGCAGACATCAGTGCCAGTTGGCTCTGGAGCTGAACCGAGGCTCTACTTCCTCTGTGGATCCCGGGTGGGAGCACGAGTTGGATTTCCCGGGTGTGGGGTTCTTGGCAAGGAGAAGCGTTTGGGGCTAGGGGCCTGGCCGGCAGCCAGCTGCACACATCTGGATGTGCGTCCTACACCTCAGCCCCAGCTCTGGCCCCAACCCTTAATCCCCAACCCTGGGTGTTTTAGAGAAAGGTCTAGGTTTTTACCCTGAGACTTCGCTCTGACCCTTTGGCTAATGGAAGCTGAGCGGGAAGGGAGGAACAAAGATTGCTGTGGTGGAGAAAGCAGAGAGCTGCTCCATTGTTCTCTGAGCCTAAAGAGTCCATGCAAAAAACCCAGAATGGGCCAGGAAAACTGCTTGCTCTAGCTAGGCCCCCTGGCCGCAGGGATGGATGGATCAAGGATATTCTGGACAACAGGCTGCTGAGCCTCTGGAGCCTGCACAGGCATTGTTGTTGGGGCCACAGAGGGACAGTGGCCAGCAAGCCTTGGAGCCTAAGCAAAGCGCCTTGGCTGCACAGACTTGTTGCAGTGGCTGTGCTGTGGGTCCTCAGGCACTGACTGGTGCGGTGGGACCCAGTCCTCTGCAGGCTGCCCGCCCTGCTGGGTGCTGGGAAGGGGCGTGTCTGCGCGTGTAAATGGGCGGGGCCAAGTGACAGGCGGCCATCTGGGTGACGTGTGGACAGTGGGTCTGGGTGAGAGAGCTCTCCTGGCAGACCTGTAGAAGATAAAGCTGAAGGAGACTGTTGGGCTGCAGCAGTCTTTCTGGGCACTCCCTCTTCCCCCAGCCAGGATGAGGATCTTCTGACCAGGGGCAAGGATTTCAGCCCTTCTGAGAACTGATCCTCATGCAGGAGATCAAAGATGGGCTTTGTAGGGACAATCAGGAGACTAGACAGGGGCAAAAAGAGAAGAGCAGCCTCGTCCCTGGAGAAATCCTCCTGAAAACCAGGACTCCATGGGGAGGCATGGGTGGGATGGGCCAGTACAGAATGGCAGGGCAGCCTCACCCTGCAGAGGTTTGCTATTCTGTGCCTGGTGCCTGCTGAGCCTGCCCTCGAGGAGTTTGCAGTTCAGTGGGACACAGAACAGTAAGTGGAAAAAGAAATAAAATAATTGCAGACCGGAAGGCTGCAGAGAAAACGATACTGGACTGTGCTGGGGAGGGGCTAGAAAGGGAAGCCTGCTGTAGACCTCCCAAAGGCAGAGGTAATCACATTGTGACTGAGGCATTAGAAGGAGGCAGCATTCTTTGGGGACTGAGAAAGGGTAGGACCTTCTGTGTGACTTGCATTGGACACAGACTAGCAGAGGGCACAGGCCTGTGTTCAAGGTCAGGACTTTGCCTGCTCAGGGTGACGTAGCCCATCTAGCCCTCCCCTATCCTGGCATGCCCCATAGTGCCCCAGGACTTGGCTGTCCTTCGAAGACCTCTTAGTTGCTTCACAAGAAGTGCGGCCACAGAAACCCTGTTGACTAGTCCTAGAACTGGTTTGGAGACTGGGAGAAGAAGCTGAGCTGTGGTCCCTCGTTCCTGCTAGGCGGCCATCACTTCTACAGGGATACTTCCATAGGAGCCTCTCAGCAGCCATGGGGTGGGGAGAAAACACCACTTTGGCTGTCTAGATGGCATGATTCAGGATCAAAGGGGTGAGGGCCCTGTCATCTGTGAGTTGGTGGCAGGGAGATCTGCATTTATCTCCTCAGACCTGCCTCACAGTTCTTTTTAGGAGAGAAAGGAGAGGTAGATGGTGCAGAGGGGCCTGACCAAGGTGGTGTCTGCTGGCACCAGCCACCAGAGCTTTCCTGAAGACCCTCAAAGGGCAGAGGGACTGTGCTGTCAGGTGGGGCCACTGAGGTGAGAAAGTAGGCTGCGCTGGCTGGACTGTCCCCAGCTCAGAGGTCCCAGGTGAGGCAGGGCTGAAGGCAGTGCTTGGCATCAGGTGGATGAGGCATCAGCTGGTGAGTCCAGGCTAGGTTTTTCTCCTATGTGAAGGTGGAGAGTGAACTAACCAGTCAGGGCACAGGCGAAGGTAGAAAAGATTTGCCTCCTAGGCCTGTGAGGTGTTCCTGTGTCAGGACAGGCCCTTGGTGGCCAGCAGGGTAGTTGCCCTGCTATCTCAGATGGTGGCTAAAGACACAGGAGATTTGACCCCACTGATGAGGTTCATTATCAGGCTCTGCTCACTGTCTGGTACCATCTCAGACCCAAGAAGCTGCCAAGACCCAGTTTCTGAGGCAGATGGTGGGGGGAGGTGAGGCAGCCCCAAATAAGAGCCTTTCTGGAATAAAAGGGAAAAATTGAAACTTGATCATCCCCTTTCCAGAAATCAGCTGGGGCCCAGATGGTTTAGACAGGCTCCCTATCCCTTCCCTATCTATGGAAGCTGCCAAGTAATAGAGTCCCACTGGGGAACCCTAGCAACTTAGAAGACTGAGGGGTAGGTCTAGGGGGAATGGCCTAATTCCAACAATCAGAGGCCTTAGTCCACATCATGCAATTTTACACGATGAGGAAGGCTACCAAGCCTGCGCCAGGGGCAGGACTGGAAGATACATCCCCTAAACCTCCTTTCCAGAAGTCCTAAGCCCTAGGTCCTTCCCTGGGGCTTAGTTTCCCCATTTGTGAGTGAAAGAGACCCTTCCATGACTCATCCTTACCCTGTAGGGATGTGGTGGTGATTTCACCTGGAAAATATCCCACATGGCTTAAAGAGAGCTTACAGTGATGCATAGTATTTGAATACTACAAAAACACTCCTCTTCCTCATTGGCTTGTCCTGGCCTAAAGATTTTACATGAGATCAGTCAGTTGACTCCCCCAGATTGTTCAGCTTTCCCCACATCTGGCCCCCAGGAAAAAGGGACTAAGTGGAGCAGTTAAGATTGTGCAGGGCAGAGTGTGAAAGAACCCAGGAACTTGGAGTTCCTAGACCCACTACCTCACCAAGGTGGCTGCCATCCTGGGAATGCTTGCCGTGACAACAGGTAGGCCGGAGAATTGCAAGCCAAATAAAAATGAGAAAGAAAGGTGGGAAGCTATTCATTTCTAAGCCATTTGCTGGGTTGGTGGGCAGAAGTAAGGGCAGTTACAGGGTGGGAAGGGGTTACTTGAGAATTTGCTTGAGGATATTTTGGGATGAAATGTCTTCACACATTTTTTCCCTTTTGGGAGTAGAGTGGGCACAGGAAATGTGAACGCCTCAAAAACCCACTGCCCAGAGCAGCAGGTGACGTGTGAGCGTAGCCTGCGCCCCCCAGTGTCAGAGGGCTCACCCAGAGCCATGCTTGTTATTTCCAGGGGCTCCCCTGGCCCAGCAGGAGAGTGTGGACAATGCTCATTTCTGCCCCTCCCCCAGTAGGGGAGGGAGCCCTGTGCCATCACAGGCTGGAGGAAGGGCTGTGACAGGGTGTGGGCCCGCAGGCTCTCGTGTATTGTGTGGAGCAGGAACTGGCCCAGAATCTAGGAGCAGTGAAACCTTCTACCTTCCTCAGAGTTAGCATTTAAGAGAATATTTCTTTTCCTGCCATGATGAGGATGTTTTCCTCAAGAGCAGGCTTGGGCCCCCACCCAAGGGGTTGATAAGAGTCCCGCACCTCCCTGTGGCCATTGCCTTGTTCCGATTGCAGCAGCCGGAGCTGTTCTCACAGGGCAGCTGAGGTTCTGCCTTAGGTCAGGCCCTCCACTCTGAGGACATGGCACAGATGGAGTAGAAGTGTTACTCTTGTTCCAGCAGCTGCTCTGATTCCCTGAAGCATAAACTGACCCAGGGAAATGCCTTTTACCATTAGTGACAGCTCCAACCCCAAGCACAGGCCTTTCTAGACCTGGATTGAATGGGTAACAGGGCCATGTCACCTGCACCCCTGGGGTGTTTCCTGGCCATCCCTCTTGTTCCACATTTCCCTACATCCTTGTCCATTCTGCTTCTGGGCTGTAGCTATCTATGTCCCCCCAGTCCCCTCCATCCCAGGCTGCCAATACCAAATCTTTCCTCTTCTGCTAACAACCTTTTCTGCCCCTCCCTGCAGTGACCCTCCGTACATGTCCATCCCTTATTACCTCTAACCTCGAGGCTGAAGTCACACGGTGCTTCCTAGAGCTCGGGGGAGAGCAAGTCCTGCACTAACTAGGCTGAGCAGAGCCCCCTCATCCCTAACTGCAGCTCAGCACCCTGCTGCTCAGCCACCTCTGCAGCACACTGCAGTGTCTCCCTGGACAGCTAGCTAGAGAGAAGTCCCCTCCTCTCTGCAGAGCACTCCGCCTTGCTCAGCCTTCCGTGGGATTTCATAGAACCACAGAATGGAAATTGTCTAGTTGAGCCTCCCACTTACTGAAACTAATCCCTCTATAGCACCATAGGCAGGTGGGTGTTCTGTTTACTCACTCCCAGTGACAGAGGGCTCACTACCTTATTTTCCTGGAAAGCATTCATTACTAGAAAGATCTTTCCTTTTTTTACATTGAGCCAAGATTCTGTCTTCTGGGAATTTCCATCCATAGCCCCAATTT